TCTTCAGCGCGGAGAAACACATCCACTAAATAGATGAATTTCTCAAGAAATTACATTGCGTTTATCCAGTACAGGTCAGTAGAAAAAGTTGATTCGTCTTGCATGACAGCATGCAGTCGTACATTGGGGAGGATCAGCAGAGTTGAAGAAAGTGAGCTATGAAACCAAGCCTCAACGGAGTACTCATTGGCTCTCTGAGCCACCTGAGTTACTTTTCCACACACCTCGATAGCTGGTTGCCATGAAAATATTTAGGAACCAAGTCGGCGCTAAAATTGATCCCAAAAGATCTCCTGGTTTAGAGATTTCGGAGGTGTCGAAATAAATAGACCAAGAATTGCTTGCAAAATTATTTAGATTCCCCTGGCAACTTTTTAACCATGGAAGCTGTGTACGAGCTGAGTTATCACATTTAAAACTTCCTACTCTAAACCTGGCAATGTTTCTTAACCAATCAACTAGTGTTTTGGATAATATAGAGCAATCTAAAGATAAAGAGTTGCCTTTGGCCCACCAAGCTTTCTGTCGCTCCGAGAAATAGGTACCAGATTTGCTTGGGATCAGTTCAGTCCCCTTGATCCACGTGGGAACAACCTAACACAGTTGAAGGGAATACAGGTGATGTAGGGATGTTCATAGATCTAGAGGTATCAGAAAGCTCTTGTTTTGAAGAGAGCTTTCGAACAAGAGTATTTAGAAATCGCCAGCTATTCGAAAGCCATTCTTTCGAAGCAATTTATCGAATTTGCTTTTACTGTATTTTAATGTTTGATGTGTAGGCACCGAACCATAGTGGTCTGCTCTAAAGGCTACTGACACCGGCTCGAACTATTATGGTATCTAGATTCATTCTGCTTCCTTCGTAGACTTCCTTCACTGCTTTAAGTTTTAAGATTAACGCTTTTCGTTGCGTAAGGATAGCACGCCTTTGTACATCTCAAGGCTCTCAGCACTTCTGTCATTCGACTCTGTCATCCATCGAGACAGTGGAGCTATTATTATTAGTATTATGCTAGTTCTCTAAAATTTTTGCTGAAAATGGTTTTTTTTGGAGTGCTACAACATTTATGCATGGGTGTTTTCAAGCTTCCACCGCAGGCATTTGTGATCCATCTTGGATTGTTGTGTGGCTTGTTGCCTCGCGATTAAAATTCACCTAGAACGGCAGCGATTCTTGCAATGATATCCAATCGGAGAATCAACTGAAGATGTTGTAGGAGAGCGGATCCATATCAAGTTGTCGCATTAGTGACAAGTTGTAGAGTTTGCGGTCAAGGGCGATTCAATCGTTCGATGTTCTCAACACTGGTTGACTAAAGGGGAACTTTGCAGTGAGCAGCATTTGTTCGCTGGAGCGCCGTCGAAGGCCTCCGCTCCGACGCTGACTGCGAGAAGTGCAGTTACTCGAAATAGCGTACAATTTCATCCACCGTGTTCAGCAACTTTGACATTGTCTTTCGGACTTTTGACGACGTGTTTACGAAAAGAGAGGAATCGACGATAAAGTGTTCTTTGGCTTGTCTACGCAAGCGCGGTGTGCCAGGCTGCTTGCTGATAGGGACTCCTATCTGAGAAGGAAACTCAATTGATCGCTATCAAACGAAGAATTCCGTGTTAACGTGTGGGCAGCTCCGAGAGTAACCATCTCTCGAATTTTTTGGCTTTTTTCAACGGATCTCGACGCTTGATTTCCGTTGGACGAACAGTTCTTTCGAAATTACTTTCTGAATTACATAGTAGGACTAATGAATTAGCACGCATAGTGTGCTTGACATCGTGAATCTGCTGCGTTCCTTTACATTCACATGCTTTAGCCCTTCAAGCTTGATTGTTGTCGTCCACGATTTCACTTCCACTGATTTATTCTTTTTCCGAAAAGAATTTACATTTTCATAAAATCGTTCTGCTGTTGGTAATGCTAAATACACACTTCTATGCCAATAAGTATTTTGCGCGTGTTAGGCTCGGAGGCGCGCTGCAACACACACATAGGATCGATCCTCGCCTCCGTGGCCCACCAAGGCTTCCATCTTTTCGGGGTCGGCAATTGAGTACCAGACTTGTCTGGAAGGATAGCAGCACCGGCTCGATACATCGGTAGGCCACCGCGAGTTATTTGAAAGGCCAGATATGCCTGCATTCAGTCATCTCCAACAATACATAGTGAAGTCGAATGCATGACGTATCCCTCAGGGATTGATCAACGCCGAAAGTTTATCCTTTTAGCTTTTAGGTATTTTGCATGTCAAAGCCACGTAGTGATTCTGAGGAACAAGGAAATATCTTGACAGATTCTCCATCCACAATAATTTCTCACCTTTATAGAAATGAGAACGATATCGATCGAATGTGTTTTCTGCGCGACACGACACGGTCTTTCGCATGGAAGTGTGTCGTTCCCTAGGAGAAAGGGGTGATTAGGAGTGATTTTTCCGTCGAAGCGGACAAATGCGCCGCTACGTCATAGAAGAGCAATTTAGGAAGAGACATCATCACGAGTCTGCTGAATGTGGTTGCTCAATTCTGAAGACACAATGATAGCTGAGCCGACTCAAGGTCGGCTAGCCGTTGATATCTCTACAGGTGACTGGTTCACCGACACAAGCAGCATTAGGCGAAAACCGATCGAAAATCGTCTACAGTGATATAAAAAAGGATAAAGGATAAGGCTCTCGAAGTTGATCAATTCCTGAGGAATGCGCCATGCAATCGACTTTATTAAGCATCGTTTGGAGCTGATTGAATGCTTATCTGGCCTTTACAGTGACTCGCGGTGGCCTGCCGATGTATCGAGCCAATGTTGTAATTCTCCCAGACAAGTCTGGTACCAATTTGCTCACCCCGTGAGATGGAGGGCTTGGTGGACCATAGGCGCGGTTACCGATTACACGTGTGTGCTGCAGGGCACCTCCGACCACTGCGCCACACGCATCCTACAGTGATATACTTTATTTACTTGTTTATCATTACATAACCAGACGTCAAATGTACCACACTGTGCGGATTCCAGCACTTCTTGCGTTTGATTTCCCAGCATCCACCGTCCAGAAGGCCTTCGACAATTTTTACGTGTGTTTGGCTGTCTGAAGATTTTTTGCCTTCGTAACGAATACCATTGAAAGCTGGTCGAGTCCATTTATCTTAGAATCCTAGTATAGCCGTGTTGAAGCGTTCTCATGTGGATTAGGGTGAGTCATGTTGTCCCGGACAGGCATGGTACGAATTCCCTGATCCCGGAGGGACGAGAAGTTTGCTGGTCTCGGTGCCGACTCAAGCCATCGTCTAGGTAGGATAGGTCAACAAGAAATAGTGAGCTCGTAACATGTTTCTCGTTTATTTGCTGCTGCTAAAATGATTATGGATGGGATCTATCATTTTTTTCATATTTATGTACTGTGAAAAACATCCACCTGGCGTTATACAATGAAATGAAAATAGTCGTAAAGTAAAACTTGTGAACAGCAGCTGATCACCGTTATGAGGCCACAAACGCGACGTTCTCTGGTGAGGAACTTGTGACACTTGTCCCTATGTAAATTACCATACGCAGACTATGAACCTTTTTTCTGATTATCGATGTCCAATACGAAATTCTCCTGCGAATGCAGTGAGTATATCTGGATCTGTGAGAACACGTGCTGTTGATGCAGCACGTTCCCGTAGTCAACAAAGCCACCGGCAACCTAACTCTCATTGATTTGCTTCCACAGAATTCAGTGCTAATTTCTATGTGTTGTGTGTGTTATTTTCTATATGTTTACTCATGCTTGATTTCTCTCATTTGTTGCGTTTTCCTTTCTTGAAATGTCAATTGGACGTTTTTTTTACCATTAGTCTACTAGAGTTTTCGAGGCTTTAAATTTGGGAAATTTTTTAAGAGAAGAAAAAGAGAAAGTTGTGAGCAGTTTTCGTAGAGTAGGGTTATCCCGACGAAGTCGTAGCCCAGCGCAATTGTGAGATGTTCGTACAAACACCGCATGGGCATGTTGGTACAGTTAAAAATTATTCTCCGGACGCAATAAAAGCCGGATTGAACAGGAGCCGAACTGCTTTCGTTTTTGGAGTCATGCACTTCTGCATTTTTCATAGTCAAACGTGATGGCGAAGAAGAGATGGAGAGCGTTTCCAATGTGTTTATATGACCCTAATCTAAACTGTTTGTTGGAAATACGAGCTGGTCTTATCGTCGGCACAGTTATGTTTAGCTTGAAGAAAAGTGTTTTTTTTTTGGAAACAAGCTTGGCATGTTACTCTTCCAGCTTGCAGTCGGAGAGCCGAGCACTGTAAAAATGGGATCGAAGTTCGTTAAAACTCCTCGTTCTCCTTTTTCAAATCAACGATGCTAAAGAGGCAGGTGTCTTTAGTGACTTGTGGAGGAGAGTTTCGATTCAAAACACCTCACATCCCAGCCTTTATTCCTGACGCAAAAACACAAAAATTTTAAATGCAGCTATCTCGACTGTTTGTTAGAATAGGCGTTCAGCTAGTCGAGAAAACACTCACGAGCAGCTTACGTTCACGCTTGTGCTGTTGCGTCGATTACATTGTTTTCTGTCTCTTTCCGTTAATGATAATAGCGAAATAATTCGTAAAACTGGCTTCCAATTAACCTCATCAATAAGTAATGATCATGATCAATTAGCTAAGAGGTAGGTGAAACGAAAGACCCGCATGGTGTCGTGGTGAACACGTTAGCCGCCAGAAAGAGTGGTAGCGAGTTCGTTCGCCACCGCAAACATCTGCGATCTGAAGTTTTGCAAATATCCCACATCACTGTGAATGATCAAATTGTTTTGTTTTTAAAAACTGTCCTTAATGAGCCGACACGTGGTTGTACACGCGTAGTTTCGATTTTCGATAGTGGTAGCACGGCTGTAGTGGTGCAAGTGATATTGTGAAGAACAGACAACATCTGCAAGATCATATATGGTGAATTGGTGCAGATTTCTGGCCTGTCGTTGAAGGCCAGTGTATGTCAACTGTAGACGAAATTTTAGCGAATGCAGTTCCTGGTGGTGGTTGCAGCCTGTGTAGTCGCATCTACATCTATTGAAATTCGACCGAGTCGGAATTATCTTGAAAACAACGTAAGTGTTGAAGGCAATAATAATCCTACTGCAGAACACGTTCTTTTACTTTGATAGATAAAGTTAATATTTATTTCATTTCTGTACAGGTTAAAATGTAAAAAAAGAGAAGTAAAAAGAAGCAGAGCGGAAAGAAATTCCGACGGAGGCAAGTCAGTACTTCACACCATTTATTACTAAGAGTTGTAGTAAAGCAAAAACGACAGCATGATTTTTTGAAGCTTACGGTATAAGAAATGAGCAAGGGATAATAAACATCGTTGTAAGACCTACCCCTTTTCAAGAAAACTCAGCGAGACTACTGTTTTTCAACATTTTTCCTCCAAAGGTTCTTTCCTAAAAGCACTGTTGATAACCATAATACCTGAACATTTTGGTGTTTCAGAAGATTCCTCCATTAGAGCAGTCGAAGAATCCTCATGGTACGTCAAAATTCCCGTACACATATGCCTCGATTTGTTTGAATGGGACTAAGGGCGAGTCGCTAAACATCGTCTACGCTAAACAATGTAAGAACAAAGAAGCGCAGGTGGCTCTTGGTCGTTACAGTAACCAGGTGAATACGACGGGGTCAGTTTCAGTTTATTGTGAGTTCGTTTGGATAAATGCATTATTGAATAATTGTCGTTTTTTCTTTATTATATTTCGAGATAATAAAACTGTGCATTGATTAAAAAACGCACCTGTTTTGGATAGATAGACATACAAAAACGTTCTCTCGAATCTCTTTTGATGAAAGACAATGGAGTCTCAGTCACTGTACTCGTTTAGTTTCATCACCTGCTGGTCGAAAACTATGGGTGTCTCATTTACGTAGGCCTATGATTCGCTCTGTGTATTCCAAGTCACTCAAGGGCGCGCGTGGCGCACTGGTCCGAGACGCTCTGCAGCACGCACGTGGAATTGATCTCCGCGCTCATCGCTTACCAAGCTTTCCATCCCTCCGGGGTCGTTAAATTGGTACTGTACTTGTCTGCAAAGATAGCAGCACTCGCTCGAATAATCGATAGGCCACCGCGAGTCATTTGTAAAGGCCAGATATGCGTAGAGTCACTTCCAGCGGTGCTCAATGAAATCGAATGCATGGCGCATCCCTCAGGGATTGATCAACGCCGAGAGCTATATCCTTTTATTTCAAGTAACTTCATTCTAATCTCGATTTTTTCCATTTTCAAGGTCATTTATGGCATTTATATTGCGAGTTTTACGAAAAACGGAATCTCTCCCAGTAATTACAAGGCTGCTTTAACCTTCATTGAGAATCCATCGGTTGTTTACGAAGATGTGGAAAGATAAAGGAAGTATTTATATGAAGCAGTAGTCAGGCAGTCTTCTTACCGTGGTCAAATAAATGAATCTGCGGAGCTACCAAGAAGAGATTGAGAACTGCTGGAAGTGTCTTGACATATACATTCCTTTAGACGGTGTTATTTCAAATCTTTTTTTGTGGCTATTGTCATCGCCACCTTAAGAGCATTGATAATTAGGTTAAATGTCCACGATAGTTATTTCCTAAAATGCGATCTTTGTGTTCTAATCCAGTCGCATCGAGAAGAGTGAACACCGCCTGCACTGAACAGACTTATCCAGTTGGCTTCTTGGCGCCGGTATTGACAATTAATGAGAATTATCTGCGTCACTCCATAGAATCCGTTAAGCTAGGCTTTTATCAAAGCGAAGGGCGGCTCTTTCGAACAATTTGCATGTTTTTTGTTTACGTTGTTTTGGCTTTTAAAGCCAAGAAACCTTCAAAATAGTGTATAAAAACATAGTGTCACGAGAGCTCCATACTTTTTGACCATCATGTCGATTATTGAAGGTGCTAATCTAATATCGCAAACAAAACAATCACGGCGTCATTTGTTTATGTGTTCTTTCTGCATTGACTGTGCATCCTATACGCATAACGGCAGAGTATCAAGACTGAACTAATGCATCCTTAACTTCTTACGTTCCAGATGGGGAATTCTGGAGATCGAGACCTTCTCAGGTCACCCGTACGATTTGCAGGCGTATGCTGCTGGAGTCGCTGAAGGTGAATTTTTTAAAGGTTTGCCACGTTACCCAGTCATCCTAGGACTACGCTGCTTCTCACAGGTTATCTCATCGTCCGACGTTTCTACATGCGAACATTTGAGGTGCAGTGTAATGAAGCTAGTTTGTTGCAAGTTAAGCAGTTTGTTATTTCGCTGGAAGTAGTACCAGAAGCTTTCCCAGGTCACCATCGTATGAACTCATCAGTCCTTGTCATAAGAGGGAGATTTACTGTATTATCAGCTAGTTTGCCAGTGGAGCGGCGATAATTTCTTGCATTTGTTTATTCTTGGATCGAGTTCGGAACAGAAGTACCAAAGCCCTACTTTGGAAGACTTCACCCAGAAAAAAGCTTACCACAACATCTATCTACACCTGTCAGGCATGATGAGGCAGTGAATCATTTGGGCGCCACAACTACAAGGATGTTGAGAAATGAGCAAAACTTGGAACCTCAGGCGCGCTTGCAACCCGCCTTTATCCTTTCCAAGGGTTCACGTGTTATCAACTTCACGAACCTACGCTTCTGCTTTACCTTTCTTCCAGTCAGTTTTTACTCTAACGGTACTATCAGCAATCACTCGTCAACACGAATGATTTGGCTGCATGGAGGATGGGTAGTAGTGCACAGGCTTTTAATCGGAGATTCTTGTTACCGTTATGCATAGTTCTTTGGCCCTTATAACACCAACCATTTTACTCTCCATTGATCTTCAAGTGCTTACTTTCAGCAATGATGCTTAAAAACAATGAAACACTAATTTTTCTGTCAGAAGATCGCTTCTGAGAAATCGTTTACCCTGTGGTCAAATTCATGCCTTCAGCTAATTAGGAAATGTTACTATGGCCTATGAAATGAATAAACGAGTGAATTTCGTCTTCATACTTTGTGTTTGACAAGGACACCAGTTGATAGATACTCTCGGCCAACGACGGCCTTCTTTACGTTTTCATACAGATTTGCCTTCTCCATACTGTGTGCCGCCCGATGATTTATCCTAGCTATCTAAAATCGATTGACTCTTTGCAGGAGTGCTGACACATCAGCAGATCCATTACCACTACATGAACACGGTACAGAACTTATGTAAGAATCATACGTGGGTTTTTCATTTAAGGAAATTTTTTGGTTTGTGGGGCTTCTTAAGTTTCATTGTACATTGTAGACAATACTGCACTCGTCTTTACAAATATTTGACAAAAAATTTGGACTGGATGCGCTCAAAAGTTATTGAGGAACCTCCATCCGACCTCTACTGGAGACACGTGAGTGGATTTAAGTGATTGAATTCCAGGCACACTGGAGGTTGCGATTATGTTGATTTGTTTTTTCTTTCTAATGCCGCAGTGTTAAGGCACGTTCTAATATTCTTTATTTCTATTCACCTTATTTTTATTTTATTTTTATTCATTTTGCTTTTTATTTTTTGTTTTCCTTTTTATTAGCATTTTTATTTCATTTTTTAAATTTTATACGGCCCGTCTTCACGTCTACTATGCGGGTCCCAGCATTAGCATTAGAAACATTCGATTCGTTTCCTTGAATCAACTGTCCACGAAGATCTTCCAACTTTTAACGCTTTGCTTCAGCTGCTACTTGAGGATTTTTCATGTCATCTCGAATGTCGTAGAATGTTGGTCGAGTCCATTCCCCCTGGGGTCCTGAGATAACCGGGTTGGAGCATTCCCAGTTGGACTGCGGAGAGATTTTTTCCATAACAAGTCCGGTGCCAATTTTCAGACCCCGGAAGAGATGGGAGGCTTGGTGAGCGTGCGGCGGCATCGAACGAGCACTGTGCTCATGATTATCGGCGTCACTGCCAGCTATCTGCCTCCGAGCGTTCTAATAGCTGGCATTTAGTTGGGAGGGACTTGGAAAATTAGATGAATATCACGGGAATAATCAAATATTCGAGCTGTTCCATGTGCTTCTCTTTTGAAGTTCGATAAAATAGCATTGTCATTCCATTAGAACCCTGCACCAATGTTCTCGATTACCGAAAACAAATTGAAGACGCAGGAAACGACATTGACTTCTAATCTTGTCAACACAGTCGCGACCACACCTAATGTTGTCTGGCAATTCTATTAGACTACGCACGATTTTTCGTCACGCGCAGTATGCATCAAATTCAATGTGACTGTCCCGTTGGGCTCCTGGAAATGAACATGCCTCTTTTCGTGTCTTACATTCTGTAACTCTGTCTTTCCTTGCGTTTTTCGCTCACTTATACATTTTTTATATTCTGTGTGCTCCCTGTATTCTTCTTCATAACTTTTCTTGTCTTTAGAACATTTTCATCTCTTTTATGTGCTGAAGTCATCTATCGTACAGTCTTCAGCCCTTAATATCGCTTGTACAACATGTTCAGTATATTTTATCCATAGGTTAATCGGCTTAGAAAGCATATGCTCAATGTACTTCAGTATTTCTGTATTTCTTTTATATTCACTTATGCCACACTCGAGCTACGATCTGTCACTGCTATTGCAAGAAGGAGTAATCAGCCATTGTTTAAAAATTATTTGCTTGGATACCTGAATGGCCCATCTTTACTGGTTGTGCAGGACCCAGCATATTTTCCATTTTTTTCGGAGTTTTGCTGGTTTAGTTACTGTCGTTCTCTGGGATCCCAGCATCAGCCAGGCTAAAGTCTGATGTAGGTCTTCACCACTACAGGTAGTCGCCGCCCTTGTGCATCAGAGGGAGATTTGTCACTATGCAACTGGTTCGATACCAAGACGGTTTACCCCAAGCTAAGCTTCCTGATGGAAAAGCTGGACTCCTCAGCTGTATTAGGCAGTAAATAAAAAAGTTAGCATTGCGATTTCGACTACAGCTTCAGCTTAACTAGGTTCGTTGCCGATTTTGGCTCCCTAGAACAATCCCGTTGACGGGTGATTGCTGATGAAGCTAATCGATAGAACTAGCTGAGAGGCGGGCGAAATTAAGGACCCAAATGGTGTGCTGGTGAACACGATAGCTCCCTGAAAGGGTAATAGCGCGTTCGTTTCCCACCGCAGACACCTGCGGTACGGAATTCTGCAAATATCTCAGGATCATTATGGTTCTACACATAGTTAACATCGTTAACAACCTCTACCTTTTTTTCGACTTGCATTTTTTGTGGCTAAAATTTAAACAATCAAGAAGAAAACATTTGTTGCATGGGATACAGCCAGTGCTGATCTCCTTGACACTTTTGCAACAAATTTCAAATCGCAATATTGCAATTTCTATCAAAACTAACGGGGTGTGTGCAGCTCAAGACTTAAAGGTGTCCTGCAATACACAAGAGCTTGGTCGTAGGTTCGATCCCGCACTCTTGGGTTAATCAAATCCTCCATCCCTCCGGGTTCGTCAGACTAGTACTAGAACTATCCGGGAGGCTAGTAGCAACACTGATTTTATACAGCAGTAAGCCACTACAAACCATTCCACAGAGCAAATATGCAGTCAACCACTTCTGCGATGCTTGGTGACGTCGAATGCAGCCAGCCAGAGAGGACCGACTCCGAAAACTTTATCCCTTATCTTTTTTAACTCTCTATGGAACTCTAATGTCATGCCGCTCATTCACAATCCTCATCTTCATTCCTATCATCCGATTTTTCATCCACAAAAATCGCAAAACATTCTCTCTATTCGTTCTCTATGGGAAGCAAATCCAGAATCACCCACCACCTCAACTACGCTTGTGCAGACATAACTGAGAATTATAATATAAAGGCCAATTTTTTACCGCTCCCAATGGTTTACCGCTTCATCGTGGCTGGGTCGTGTTCCTGGGTATCGGGCTGCGATGTGCAGCGGGTGGATTCATCCCCCAGCAGGGTCTCACAAGCTGTAAAGAAGTCCGGCATTTCATCAGGAAGCCCAGCAATGAGTGAACCAATTTTCCATTGCAATGAGGCGTGTTTACTAAGCTTTTCAAGTTTTAGAAGAGATGGTGACAAAACCCGTGGTGTTGATAAATCCCTAAGTGAAGCGCCATCCATTCAACTCTATTAAGTATCGTAGAAGTGCTTGAACGCATGTAGAGTTTATAGAGTGACTCGCGGTAGCCTACCAATATATCAATTCAGTGCTACTATCGTCCCAGACAAGAGTGGCACCGATATGTCGAAGCTTGTGGGACAGGATGCTTTGTGAGCGTGAGGCTCGGGATGGAACCAGATTTCGATCTAATGCCTACTGCACAACATCTGTCTACTGCGCTGCTTGTGCCATTTTGGAGTGGACTTATTATATAAATGAAAGAGGTGCAGCGTATTCTTTCCAGGTAAATCTCACGTTTGCGCAGTTAACGGGCATCTACGACGCGTACATGAAGCGCAATCTCGTACCTGGAATCGGTTTCGATTTATCGCCGATTCTGTGAGTGAGAGATTTTAAAAAATTATTGAAAAACATGCTGTACCACTTTAGAAAATTATATTATAAAAGGGTTCTTTTAATGGTTATTTGAGCAGCGGTAGTACAGCAGAAGCACGTTTCAGGACAATTCAGCTTTCCGGAGAGTTGTTCGATTTGAATAAGCTTTTCAACAAAACGCCTGATCCACAAGAGTATCCAGAGGCTGGACGATGTTCAGGTCTGGTGAAGGTCGCCCCGGGAAACAAGGTAGAAATCACTGCTACCACAGAAGACATGCGCTAACTGATTTTGTTTCCAGTTTTTTCACCTCTGCTAAAAATGACGAGTAGCTTCATTTAAACGAATTCATTTGAAATTTCAATGGTAAAGCAATACTAAACATTCAGGACTTGTTCTTCGCTCATGTTGCGATGTCCAGTCTTAGTTGGATGATGAGAGTATTGAAACTATATAAGTTCGCATACGGTAGGTTTTTAAAATTGAGCGGCACAAGCAGTTCGGTGGTAGAGTGTTTCCGAGGCCCATTTTAAACATCCACTGCTTTTAACTGTTAATTCAATTGTCTCGACTTTTCCTAAGAAGCACAATTTCAGACGCAAAGGAGGTTCCTGGTCGCATGGTTTCGTTTTCTGGTTATCCTGGACAACTGTCATCCGCCGACGATTACACCTTAACCAGTGCAGGACTAGTAGGGCTTTCAGACTTTCATTGCAAAGACAGTGATTATTATTGTGATGAAAAGGTAAACGGAACTGGGCACAAGTAGCTGCTCCTTTTCGTTTCATGTTTTTTGAAAGGGATTCTTTCAACAACATCTACTTTCTTACTCACTATTTGAATTAAAAGAGCGCGGACAGCAAATGCAAAGCCATGCCTGAATTTTTTAAGGTTTATTTTTGCTACTTTGATGCAAAACGACACGGAATTTCCAGGTTTTAAAACTGAACCGGAAGACCTGTGTTCAATTCAAATAAGGTGGTGATGCTGTTTAGGGTTCAATAGAGACGACGATTTCAATTTTCAATAAGGCACTCTATTCTGACACTTACATTAAGCCAGAGGGACAGGTGCATTGTTGGATTCGATCGACTATTTCGAACTACCTAACAAGGTAAGCATTTCCTCGTCTAAATTTTCTAATAGTTTTGCTTTCTCACTTACTTGACGTCTCTCACTGGGAAGAAGTGCTACCGTTTTTCGTTCCGCATATATCAGTTGATTTTCTTACAACGTTGCTGAGATATTTGCAAAACTCTGGACCGCAGGTGTCTATGGTGGGGAACGAACGCGCTATTGTCCTTTCAGGGAGCTAACGCGTTCACCAGCACACCATTTGGGTCCTTAATTTCGCCCGCCTCTCAGCTAGTTCTATCGATCAGCTTCATCAGCAATCACCCGTCAACGGGATTGACCTAGGGAGCCCAAATCGGCAACGAACCTAGTTAAGCTGAAGCTGTAGTTGAAATTATAATGTTATACCTTTTTATTTACTCCCCGGAAAGGACAACAGCGCGTTCGTTCCCCACCATAGACACCTGCAGTCCAGAGTTTTGCAAATATCTCAGCAACGTTGTGGTTGTATTTCGCTTAGTACCCTGCTGTAAAATTATAGTAGGCAGAAAATAAAAAGGTATAGCATTGTGATTTGTACGCTTAGATTCATTGGTTGACTTGATGTTTGAATGGCCCGTCCTCACTGTTTTTGTGGGCCGCAGCGTAATCTCTATTTCTCGGAGGTTTCCTGGTTAAGCGCCACCGCGACACACACGTGGAATCGATCCCCGCACGCATGGCCCACCAAGCCTTCCTTCCCTCCGTGGTTCTAAATTGGTACCAGACTTGTCTGGGAGGATAGCAGCATTGGCTTGATACATCGTGGTAAACCGTAGAGAGGTGACTTGATGAATACATATTTTTTCAAATATGTAGTTCTTAAGCATAATGATGCTGAGATGTTTGAAAAGTCCGGACCGCTGCCGTCCGCGGTGTGAATCGAACAGGATATTACTCTTTCCAAAGGCTAACGCATTCGCCACCGTCTAGCGACCGAATGCGAGTGTGATATTGCGAACTGCTCTTGCGGATTTATGTTTAAATTTGCATCCGTACAAAAAGTGGCTTTAATCTCCCTTTCCTCGTTTTTATTGCAATCGTCTAAATTTTGCACATGTTAGCAGAAAGGCGATAATGTGAGATTTGCGCTTCAGAATGACATATATATTGGATAGAGTCACGGATGAACATACGGCCAAGATGCTGGCGTGTTAAAGATGTTCACACGTTATCTATAAGAATGCAGTATTCCAAATCAACTCAAATCCAGAAGGACCGTGTTGTCTAACAAATGAGAGGTCCAACTGATTTGAAGATTTCACCTGAGTCATTCCCAACAGTATTAAAAGAACATCAGATGGACGACAACAGTGCAAGAAAGCGTAGTTTTAACAATAGTTAGGCACAATAGATAATAAAAAAAGATAAAGTTCTCGGCTTTGAGCAATCCCTGAGGGATATGCCATGCAATCGACTCCATTAAGCATCCTTTGGAGGTGATTGAATGCATATCTGGCCTTTACAACGACTCACAGTGGCCTACCGTATCGAGCCCTTGCTGCTATCCTCCCAGATAAGTCTGGTACCAATTTGCCGACCTCGAAAGGATAGAAGGTTCGGTGGGTTATGGGCGCGGCAGTTTGTAACACTTTAACCCTGTTAAGAAAAAGCATTTGACTCACGACAGAAACGGTTTTTTATGAAGTGGATTTTCATGCACAAAAATCAATTACGGTGTCTCTCCAGAGCGCCATGCTGAAAACTGGAATGGGTATTTTGGAAATATATTGGTGATAGTATCATTCATGGTCAATAGGCAGGCGGAACGAATGCCAGCCGATTCCGACAGTTTGTGGAAGAATTATCTCTCGCTTGTTCTTGAAAGAAAGATCTTTGTAAAAAAAAAACAAATTCGTTTGTGATGCTTCATTTCCACGAAATGGAACGAATATCTCTGGGTGGTGGAGCTGTATATAATATGAGTCGAGGAGTCAACACGGGGATTGTGAGTGTTCAGGAGTAATCGAGCTTACAAAAGTTTCAGAGATGTACCACAGAGTGTAAGAACAACTAGCTTCGTTCCGACGTTGTCAACTTCGCGATTCTTTCAACCTTGCCGTGCTTGCTGAAAACCTTCCACTCTACCTAAGCGAGATGAAACGTCACTCTATGTGTCCAAGGCGCTATCGAAATGATGATGCTAGTGGCATCGCACTTCACGCAAGTGAGAAAAGCAACATGGTGTTCAAATATACGTCGAAGATAAAATATGAGAAACGCACCTACATACTCCAAGATGTCGGAAATAGATCGATCGGCACGACGCGTGATGCGCATTGCAGACGGCATGCATGGCATACAATGCGTATGTTGCGAAAAAAGTGGCTATTTTGGACTTTGAATCAATAACAAGGTGAAATTTTGCACCCAACAAGGCGTATTTTTTTGCTTTTCTTCTCGAGGCCCATATTTCTAATATCGAAGCATTCGAACATTCGAAATTTCAAAATACTGGTTTCGACGATGTAAAGCGGAGAAGAACCTTCCGTAGGGTCTCCAGAAAATCAGTGTTTTATCGTGCTAGAGAAGGAGACCTTGCACTTTGTTGACGATGTTCCATAGGTTCTCTTGTTTCTCTTTTTTTTCAAATAACAAAGTTCACTACTAGCCAAGATATATTAGGCTTAAGCTTAACATTGAACGATGTAATTATTGTCAACTCTATGTATTGTAGTCAATGCATATGTAGACGATGAGAAGTAAAAAACAAAGGGTGAAGTGTTGATGAAAAAATATTGATATTGCAACGTGGAACTTTTAATATCGAATAGCAACTACTTTATCAAACATATCCACTTTTGAATTCTAGAACTGCCGAGGAATGGGCAAAGCTGTTCTCGCGTTATAATTCTGGCACCTACAACAATCAGTGGACGATTGTCGACTACAAGAAGTTCAAGCCTGGCCAGGAACTTCCGGATAAAGACATGTTGTGGACTTTGGAGCAGACACCGTGAGTACTTCTGTTATACATGGCACTTCCTCTTTCTTATGAGAAGGTATTCAGTTTTTGATATTCTTATTGAGCAAACACGAGGTGTTACTTTATTCTTTATTTCGTTAAAGCTGACGTTTCGGATGTATCGCCTTCTTCAGAGCTTGGAACGGTATGTTAATATTCAATTTACTACGCCAAACGCTCCAATAACGCTTAAAAAAAGACGAAAATTTCTATGGTAATTACATGATCAACAGCTTCTCGAAAAGCCCACCCTTTTCATGTGCCTTCCATTGGGGAAGAACAACTGATCAGAGTCGCATATGGTCGATAAATGCCCCACCCCACATCAAACGTCGATGCGAGGTTACGGGGCCAGATCGCGTTTTTTTCTTGCCATTCCTGTCTGGAATTCATTCTGCGGTCTTTGCCATTTATTCGAAAAGCTTCGACAATTTTACGTGCGTTCGTGCATCCTGTGCGAGGATGGTGACTTTTATATCAAAATCATCTCCGCTATGCTTTTGTATCCTAGGCGTATAATATCGAGAATTATTTGATCAATGCCGAGATTAATAGAAAGTCGGTGGTGGGAAGATAGTCAGTTTTCGGGACTATGTCTTACTCTATCTAAGACATTTTTTTACGCGACTGTCCTCACATATGTCATGCGTATGCCAGCAGTTGTTGCTTTCTATCCAGCTCCAGGCATCCACCATCCAAGGTCTACGAACATTATGCGTGTAGATTAGTTGAATATTGAGAATTCTCCTCTTCCTTATGAATGTCGCAGAATGCTGGTCGAGTGGATTCGCTCCGAAATTCAGGAATAGACGTGATAAGGGGCTCCCACGTAGATGAGAGGAAGTGGGCTAATTCCTGTTAAGTCTGGTGCCAAGTTGTCAATCCATTTCTGAGACATATTTGATGAAAGAACTCCAATTCATAAATGGCAACTAGGTGTAGTGTGAGTTGGAGCAATGGCATCAATCCGTGTTGAATTTGAACATATAACGTCAAATAATGGATTCTTTGGCGTTTTGATGTGACTTATTATTCTATCGTTTTAACTTTTCGAGAAACAGCCTATACTTTTAACTCCAATATTGAGTTAGAGAAGACTTTTAGCTCAGTGCAGTGAGCCCCCATGGAGCGCACATATTATCGCGTTCTATCCCGTATTGGTTATTGTTTCGGTTGCAAACTCACGATGTTACTCCCACGACCGACTTTCTATTAACCTCGGCATTGATCAAGTAATTCTTCCTATTCTTGTTGAGCAAAGGCGAGGTGTTATTTTTATTCTTTATTTACGTACAAGCTGACGTTTCGGCGGATTTCGCCTTCTTCAGAGCCTGGAAAGGTCAAGTTGACAGCAATCTGTTCGGCCAAACACCTCCATGACCAAACAAAGAAAACGCTAAACCAAGATTTAAACTGCATTAAGCACAGCTTTGCACACTCACCGCTTTTTATGGGGCTTCCACTGAGTATGTCTGAGGTTTGCAGAAAGAATAGGCAGAAAAGATAAAGGTTCTTCTTGTGAGTTATTATTTTTTTATTTTTATATGACCCGTCTTCACGTCTACTGTGCGGATACCAACAATTCTCACATTCTATTCGTTTTCTCGCATCCATTGTCCACGAAGACCTCCCAATTTTTTGCGTGTGACTTCGGTTGCTGCTTGACGATTTCTATTTCATTTTGAATGTCGTTGAACGCTGGTCAAGCAATTCTCTCTGGAGTCCTGAGATATCCGGGCTGGAGCGTCCCCGACTGGATTGCAGAGAGTGATTTTCTTTTTCCCAGACAAGTTCGGTACCAATTTCCCGCCTCCGGAGGGATTAGAGGCTTGGTTGGCCCGGAGTGGAATCGAACCAGCACCATGCTCCCGATGACGGGCATCACTACCACATCGCTAGCCACTCCCTTTCCTTTTGTGTTATTAAGTACCGGAATTCCACTTTCTGACTATTTCCAGACCAATGCCAGAATTTCTAAGACTTTTTGTTGGGCCCATCTTACGAATACCCAGATGTTTCTAGATCGTCTACGCACTGCGCAGCACCACAACGCGTACGTAATGGAGTTCTTCGACGTTACCGTCTTTTACACAAACGTTTCGAATGACTCCGCAATGCAAGCCATATTCGAACTCCTTATACAACACGATGAAGGAACAAACATGTATGACTTCAGATAAAGCAGTTGATGGCACTCTTAAAAGAATGCTTGAGCTACTCAATCTTCAGATGATACGGAAAGTACTACACTCAAATAAGAGGCCTGGCAATTGGATAGCCTCTGGTATCAAGTCTTGCCTTTGCGTTTATGTCTAAAGCGGAAGCACCAGTGACCGATCACGTGCCGTTACTTTGCTGTAGATATATAGATGACTGTTTTGCCCTTTGCTCAGCACGAGAGGAAATTGACAAATGTTTCGAGTTGTTGAACCAACAGTCAGAGTATACGAAATTCATCCGAGAGAAACCGAGAAAAAACTGGTTTCCATTCTTGAACGTCCAAATTAACCTGTCAGAAAATAGCTACATTACGAAGTGGTACCGAAAGCCAAGTAGTGAAAACAGCTTGGTTCATTACCTCTCCTCTCACCCCTCTCACACGAAAGGTGCGCTTGTAAGAAACATGTTTCGAACGTGTGCTCGGGAAGAGAGCTGAGAGAGGAGTCGCGGCACTTGGCGCGGCAAGTAACCATTTCTAATAGCTACAAAACTGTAACTCAGGATAGGTGTATGAGAAATCCTAGGCCTCCAAACGACAACTCTAGCGATAAAAAGGTCTCGCTTATCCTATCCTTCATCTCAAATGATGTAAGTGCAGCTTTAAAGCGCTGCTTAAGAATCTTAAGAAGGGTCTAGAGAATTCGGTAAGCGTAGTTGAAATGCCACTGAGTAATCTTAGGCGCCAGCTAGTTCGTAACCGCCTATATGACCGTCTGTGTGAAACACCGAATTGCCTAATTTTCCATTACGGCAGATACGGTGTCTCCATGAGTCCAGGTACCTTATACCTGATCTCCTGCAATGATTGCGGAGACGAATACATTGGCGAAACGGGCAGATCCTTCTGTGTCCGCATAAAAGAACACCTAGTGAGCAAACGTAAACCAAATACCCCACTAGGCATGCATAGGACCAAGAGACATAACGGGGAGGACTTTGAAGTACGTGTCACAATCCTCGCACAGGAATCGAGAACACAAGCGCGCAAAACTCTCGAGGCGTTCTAGAGTAACTCCAGAAATCCGAAAGTGAACCGCAGGGAAGAATGCCTCATTATCACGCGTGATATTGGGCAGTATATAAGACTGTTATTCTGATGGGAGGGGCACGTTACGCTTCCATGTGAATTCTGTGCGGTTGTTCTTCACGCGACATACTTATCTCTTAGAATCCGGTGAGTGTGCAAAGCTGTGTTCAATGTGATTAAAATCTTGGTTCAGCGTATTCTCTGTTTGGTTATGGAGGTGTTTGGCCGAATAGATTGCTGTCAACTTGACTTTTCCAGGCTCTGAGAAAGGCGAAATCGGCCAAAACGTCAGCTTTTTCGTGAATAAAGAATAAAAATAACACCTCGCGTTTGCTCAACGAGAGTACGAAGAATCACGGTATTACATTGCCACAAATCATACAATCACGAACACTAACATTTCGATGTTCGACGAAAACTGCGGTACAGACCAACAAAGATGAGGTGAGGTAGCAGAAGAGACGGTAATTCTACGAGATCGAGTACATTTTACCTCATCTTTTGTAAAGCACGTGTAGGCGAATATATTGGCGAAACGGGTGGACCAAATGGCGAATGGGACAGAGGGACATGATGGAAGTAGTAGTTACCACCCTCGCAGAATCGGGAACTTCGGCACGCAGAACTGTTGAAGCATTCTGGATAAATTTAAAGAACCCCAAAACGGATCACAGTCAGGACTGCCTCATAATCACACGTGATCATACACAATATTTAAGGCTATTATTTTAATGTAGGATGGACACATTACACTTCCATGACTCCGTGCGGTTGGTCTCCATGCGGCATATTTAGCGGAAGATTCGTAGAAGGCGGCGAGTGTCCGCAGAAACTATTTTCTTTCCAATGCGATTGATCTCTTAGTTTCTTCAGTTTTCTTCTTTCGTTATTGCGGTGTTTGGTTGGGTAGATTGCAGTCAACTTGACCTTTCCAGGCTCTCAAGAAGGTCAAATTTGCTGAAACATCAACGTGCTCGTAAATGGAGAAATAAAATAACATCTCGTGTTCAACGAAGATATAAAGCATTGTTCGATCAATGCTGAGGTTAACGGAAAGTCGGTCTTGCTGGATGTTTTAGTTAATTAAGAGATTGTTGTCGTGAACGTTACGCTGCGCTTCATTGCGCTTGTCCCGTATTCACTCGAAAGACAGCTTTCGACACCTTACAGCACCTTTGGCTTCGTGCAACAACTTTAACTTCAACACTCTTCATTGACTTCTTTTATTCCTGAGAACTTGGCACTAAGTTGTTCATACGATATTTACTTGACTCCTGTTCCTATTTCTTCCATAAAATGTCTACTTGATTCTGCAGTAGTGTTTCGGTTGCATTATAAGCAACTTTGCAAAATGTCGACTATACTAGTCACCCACTCATAGATAAAATACTGACAGGTATTTAAACGCACAAATAAGAAGTGAGTGGTGCCAGTATAATGACACCGATCCAATCCAGGATATTCTAGGAAGGAGGCAAAATTCTTATGCATGTCAGCGATTGTGAAGCATTTCATTCATATCTTCATTTCAGCTCATCAGTGGAAACGAGAACCAATGTTTTACTGAACACACAATTCTGTTAGAAAGTCTGAATCTTAGAGACGTAGCGCTACGTTGTATATCTGTATCATCCCATTTGCTTTCACCTCCGTTGTTATTTTTGGGCCTTTAGAGCTTTTGATTTGCCTTTTAAATGGCAGGAAAGTACATTGTAGAAGTTATAAGTAGTGTTGCACTTTTCCTTGATCAAAATCTTTGCAGTGGATCGATTCAAGCACAAGATGTGACGTGGTACCTCAAAAGATTCTCCTACTGGCCTTCATACAACGTGCCCTTCATCACCGAGATCAGTATCATTTCCGGTTTCAGTGAGAAGGTAGTTGATTTTCGTTGATTTTTTCTGTTTTCGCCCTTAGTTCCATAATGGCTTTACATTCAGAAATAGCCGGATTTCGAATATTTGTGATTTTCTGGCGAAGTTCTGACGATGTAAACATCAATATTCTTTGTCTAGAAAATCATTCGAAATAGCAAAGTTAGAAATGCTTGCGGACTTACTTGGATACTTGGATGGCTCGTACTCACTGGTCGTGCAGGTCCCAGAATAATCCCCATTTTTCGGAGATTTGCTGGCTAAGCCGTTGTGGTTCCCTGGAATCCCGAGGTAAGCCTAGCCAAAGTCTAACCCAGGTCGTCACCACCACATGCAGTCGCACCCCTTACGGATCAGAGACGGTGCAAAATCTCGGTATTGGTTTATTCTTAGCTAGGCTTCCTGATGGAAGCGTCGGACTCCTTCTCAGTTTGGGAGACACTGCCATGGGAAGAATCTCCCGCTGTACATCGCAGTCTGACACCCAGGAACACCTCCCAACCACGATGAGGCGGTAAACCGTTCAGAGGTGTAGACTTGTTAATGAACAAAAACAGTTTTCCCCATTGAAGTTTCCATGCAACCTTTTATGCACTTTTTAGGGAGTTTTTCAAAGCTTTGCGCTTATGTTTCTGCACTTCTGAAAAAACGACTTTGAAAGAACCAGGAAATATTCTTGTCGAATGACTTTCCATGTTCAGCTTTCAACAGTTTTGAGCAAAGTTTGTTATCAACTTGAATGAGTCGCAAATTTTTTATTGTTTGTTCATAATGATCTTCAATTTGGGTTTTATCTACCACCGTTTGCTTCTCATTTCTTTTCATTCTTCAGTTCTGGAGTCTTCCGCTCATTTCTCCTTTTCCAAGTATTCATGCATTTCTTGAGTCGCTCTGTTTTTATTTGACTGTGAATGCTGATACCGGCTGCGCAACGTATTTACGTTACCACTTAAGGCAAGGGATTTTGACTGGTACAAGTGGGGAGCCTCTCCGCGAGCGAGGATCTTCGACAGGGACCATCATAAAGTGCACGATATGGACACACTAACAAAACTCATGAGGTTAGCAATATTGAGCTCATTCTCGGGATCTCTGAGGACTTTGGGCCTGATGAGAAACTTTGGAAGAACCACGGGTTTTTTGCATCACGGAACAAACCTCAAAGTGGAAAAAATTCATGGCGTTATTAACCAAATTATTCTATTGACTGTAACTGTATCTCTTCGAATTTTTAGGAACACTTTTAATTGCTTTCAACTTTTGTTCAGCAAGCACGAGGTGCTATTTTATTTCTTTATTTACGCACAAGCTGACGTTTCGGCGGATTTCGCCTTCCTTAAAGCCTGGAAGGGTCAACTTGACAGCAATTCGCTCCACCAAACACCTCCATAACCAAACAGAGAAAACGCTGAACTAAGATTTCAATCACATTTAGCATAGCTCTGCACACTCACCGCTTTCTATGAGTCTTCCACTGAGCATGTCGCGTGGAGACCGACCGGACAGCATTCACATGGAAGCGTAATGTGCCCCTCCCATCAGAATAACAGGTTTATATACTGTCCAATATCACGCGTGATAACGAGGCATTCCTCCCTGCGGTTCATTTCCGGATTCTTGGAATTAACCCAGAATGCCTCTAGAGTTTTGCGCGCTTGTGTTCTCGATTCTTGCGCGAGGATCGTAACCCTTACTTCAAAATCTTCTCCGTTATGTTTCTGCGTGCTATGTAGAACTAGATTTGGGTGCCCCAGATCAACCCGCTGACGGGTGATTGCTGTGGCAAAGGTCGATAGAAATAGCTGAGAGACAGGCGAAACTAACGACCTGCATGGTGTGGTGGTGAACGCGTTATTCCCCGGAAAAGACAATAACGCGTTCGTTCCCCACCGCAGACACTTAGGGTCCGGAGTTTTGCAAATAAGTCAGCGTCATTGTGGTTGTATCACACGTGGTGCCCTTTACTAAAAACTGTAATAAGCAGTAAATAAAAAAGTAGACACTATTTATGCATCGTCCATTAGATGCGTGCTTCTTCTACAACTCCATAATTTTTGATCGTTTAGCTTATTCTGGTTTACCTATCAGTTTTACAAGTCAAAAAACAACTATCACGAGCTACATGTTTTGCGGATTAAATTTTAAATCTAGAAGCATTCGTTTTTAGCTTTCGAAGCAGCTTCTTGTGCTTCGTTTGATTTTTTATAGTACACTTTCCGGTTGTTGCTGTTCTTTGGTGATCGTGCCATATTCGAGAATCACTTTTATTTCATGTTGATTCACTGAACTGTTCCGTTTCAGATTTTCTTCTTGTTAAAAGAAGAATTTAAAGGAATAATTGTTTAGATACAACGACTACACTCATGACGAATTCGCTCGTTGTAAATGTTCTCCATTTCCATACACTGCTGAAGTGAGTGTTTATAGAGTTGCTATAGCAGGTGAATGGAAGCGCAATTACATCCCATGTGGATATTTTCTTTTTTTTCCTTATCGGATAATGTCTTCGAATAAATCAATTTTAGTCTTTTTGATATTTTCTTGGCCTTAGCAGACATCGTCTGTACTGGTTATACTTGTTGTTGAAGTGGTGAGGTTCGGCAAGGCAATAACTGGACAATGATTTCCTATCTAACCGTAGGCCCTATAGGTCAAATCATCCGTTTTCTACTGAACGACCTTTGCGACAGGAACTAGAAAGTGGTGGTGAAGAGCAGTCGAACTGCCTAGGTGATTGGTTGACTTGATTGACTTTAACTGAGAACTGGCATTTCTTCACAGTTGTTAAATGTCTACTACAGATACATAAAGCCATATGTTGCAACATACTTAACAAAAAATCTTGCTGATCCTACCAGTAATTTAAATGCTGTTTTCAAACATCCAGGGTGCGTGTGGCGTAGTGGTTGGAGGCGCCACTGCGACACACACGTGGAATCGATCCCCGCGCGCATGGCCCACCAAGCCTTCCATCCCTCCGGGGTCGGCAAATTGGCACCAGACTAGTCTGGGAGGATAGCAACACTGGCTCGATACATCGGGTATACCATCGCGAGTCATTGTAAAAGCCAGACATGCATTCAATCACCTCCAACGATGCTTAATGAAGCCGAATGCATGGGGCATCCCTCAAGGATTGATCAACGCCGAGAGCTTTATCCTTTATCTTTCATTTAAACATTTAATAGTTTTTGTTGAACTCAGTACTCTTTTGTTTGGTGCTCACCCGAACTCCTTATTTCCTGCGAGGACCGGACATGTTGAATAGTTTGCAAGGTATCCTACCAAGCTGAGAAGTCGAATGCAAATAATATTTTCATCGCTCGTATGCAAAGATTATTTTGGACGCTGTTTTTTCCACAAGGGATTCTTCTGTGAATATCACATTTGGTTGATATTGGTGTAGTACAATAATTACTTAGATATGCGGACTGCTTGTTTGCACATTTCGTGCCGATCTCAGTCTGGTTTTGGCGAAGATTTCGCTACAGCTTGGAGCATACTATCTATTCCTCTCATTGACCTGCCTATTTTTGGTTGAAGATTGTCTTTCGTGGATTTTTAAAATAGAGATTCTAGTGTTTAAAAGTTTTAACGTTGTACATCGAAGGAAGAATTGCTCCTTTGGTTTTAAGAGCTTCTGCGCAGCTGCAATTCCTGCGATTGGTCACCCATACGAAACCAATCATGACTAAGAATGCAAATAATCTAGATTTGAACGGAATGGTTCTGAGAAGCAGTTAAGCTTACTTTTTTTCTACTACCTACAAAAGTCGTACTGCATGGGAAAACTTTGAACAACAAATCTGCAATATCAACACCCTTAGCGATTAACTCTCTAAATGATCACAGAACAAAACACACTTCTATTCGTCGGCGATGAAGTTTTCGTAAGCTATATTGTCTAGATGGCGCAGTGGTTAGAGTTTCCTAAATACGATACACATGGGTTCGATCCCACACCTCAGAGTCACCAAGCCTTCCATTCCTCCGGGGTCATCAAATTGGTACCAGACTTGTCTGGGTGGATAGCGGCACTGCCTCGATAGGGTACCGCGAATCATTACAAGAGCCAGTTATGAATTCAGTCATCTTTGACGAAGCTTGATGAGGTCGTATACATAGCGTATCCTTCAGTGGTTGATCAGCACCGAAAGCATTGTCTTTCTTCTAATGATAAACAGAATTTTCTCGAGCATAAATTTTCTACCATATTATTTTTACATCAGATAAACTAAATGCTCAGCTTCTTATCGCTATATTAAATTTCACTACGGAAAGAGAAATCTTGTTGAAAATGAGCTTTTTTGAACAAACGCTGCATCTTTACAGGGAGGCATATCAGCGCGAGGTGATTTGAATGTACCAAACGGAACGTACGAGGTCGAAAGCATGGGTTTCCGTGATCATGCCGGTCTTGACTTCAAGGTACGGTATTCTTTCTTTTGCAACATTGAAATTTGTTTCTAAAGAGGAAGCTTCACTTGCTTGAATCACTCCATCCATGGTAATGCAAAACAATGCGATAAAGTTGTCGATTAGCGAGGAAATTAACTAATTAACTTTTTGTTTCTGTAGAAATCATTTATACTGAACACCGAATAGCCAGATTTCAAGTGTATGAACTGTAAACTTTTAAAGCCTCTTTGATTTTCTTGGGTACGTGTGGCGCAGTGGTCTGAGGCGCCCTGCAAAACACACACGGAATCGATCCCCGCGCCCACGGCCCGCCGGGCCATCCATTTTTCCGGTGTCGGCAAATTGGTGCCGAACTTGTCTTGGAGGAAAGCTGCACTGGCTCGATACATCGGTAGGCCACCGCGTGTCATTGTGAAGGTCAGATATGCATTCAATCGCCTCCAAACGATGCTTAATGAAGTCGAACGCACTGCGCATTCCTCAGGGATTGATCAAAGCCGAGAGCTTTATCCTCTATCCTTTTAATTTTCTCAGGTTGAGAAAAGAATAGCGAGACAAGTCTGAATTTTCTTCAGTATGTTTCACCCGGTTTACATCACTGTATTTTTGTATGTACATGTGTAACGCTACTTCTTCGTCAAAGCTGCCATCGTGTTTTGATCGATATTAAACTCAGTGTGTTGGGGTTTTGGGTAGTCCATGATTAACAGTGTTGCTGAAAGTATGGAATGCTGTAAAGTTGCTTGTAAGGATTTGAACTTTGTTTGAAATCTACGTTTTTCCGTCGAAAATTCTGGGCGTCGGTAATCCATGTTGAACCCAGTTCGAGTGCTGACATCAGTTTTTCTATGCCTTTCTGAATGCAGCAGTGACTTTATATTGTCATTTCAGGGTACCAATTATGAAATGTTCTCGAAGTTGCGATTCCGAGCATGGGGTGGACCACCGTACGATCCGCTCCCACCTTTCGAGTACGATTCTTTTCGTTCATTCAATATGTGCTGGTTCTAATAAGGTTCATCTAGAAGTGGTCAGCAAAAGCATTACGATGTTAGCATTAATGTAGAGGGAGAGAGAGGAGTTTATGGATATTTTAAAATCTCTTCCAACGTCCTATTTATTTGTGAAATACCTCATAATACCCTGCCATTAAAAAATAGTAGGCAGTAGATAAAACTGACATTTGATTTATACCATAGCTTCAGCTTAACTCGGTTCATGCCGATTTGTGCTCTCCAAATCAATCCCGTTGGCGGGTGATTGCTGATAGCGCCTATAGGTCAACAGCACGGTTGAGACACAAGCGAAACCAAGGACTCGCATGGCTTGGTGGTGAAGGCGCTAGCTCAACAAAAAGGATGATAGCGCGTTCGGTCCTCACCGCGGACACCAGCGATGTGGAATTTTGAAAACATCTCAGCAACATTGTGGTTATATCATACATAAAATTTGTATTTTTTGAGTCATCGTGATAAAAATAATTTTACGTAGATAATTGGGTGGAGTAAAAAATTGGCTTCATGATAAGAGCGGTCTGGGAGTTTGAAAGAACCTGCTGATCACTGCCATCTACCTTGGCGTTGTTGAAAATATGGGGTCGCCGTTGTCGACCTCGCGTATCTATCGACGTCGGACTTCTTATCATTGTAACCTACGACTTAGCTCTTATTGAAATCGTAGAAGATCACGGAAAGGAAGGTTCACAGGATTCGTAGACTCAAAGACTGTTTCTTCGTATATTTTTGTTGAGCAAACGCCAGGTGTTATTATTCTTTATTCACGAATAAGCTGACGTTTTGGCGGATTTCGCCTTCCTCAGAGCCTGGAGAGGTCAAGTTATAGCAATCTGTTCGGCCAGACACCTCCATAACCAAACAAAAAAACTCTAAACCAAGATTTCAGTCACATTGAACACAGCTTTGCACACTCACCGCTTTCTATGAGGTTTCCACTGTCGCGTGAAGGCCAACCGCACAGAAATCACATGGAAGCATAATGTGCCCCTCCCATCAGAATAACAGTCTTATATGCTGCCCTATCTCACGCGTGATAATGAGGCATTCTTTCTTGCGGTTTATTTGCTGGAATTAAATTTCTGGAATTAATCCAGAATGCCTCGAGAGTTTTGCGCGCTTGTGTTCTTGATTCGTGTGCGAGGATCGTGACACATACTTCAAAGTCCTCCCCGTTATGTCTCTGGGTCCTATGCGTGCCTAGCGGGGTATTTGGTCTATGTTTGCCGGCTAGGTGTTTTTTTATGCGGGCACAGAAGGTTCTGCCCGTTTCGCCAATGTATTCGGCTCCGTACGTCTTACTGGAGATCAGATAAACTGTACCCGAGCTCATGCAATCACCGTCTCTACCACTGGAGCAAATTATGCAATTTTGAGTTGCACATAGACGGTTATATAGGCGGTTACGAACTAGCTGGCGCTTAAGGTTACTCTCCTCTCATCCCTCTTACACGAAAAGAACGCGTATAAGAAACATGTTTCAAACGGCAACCAACATGTGCACGGGAAGAGAGCAGAGAGAGGAGTCCCGGGAAGAGAGTTATTGTGATGGGAGGAGCACGTTATGCTTCCATGTGATTTCTGTGCGGTTGGTCCTCACGCGACATACTTAGTGGAAGCCTCGTAGAAAGCGGTGAGTGTGCAAAGCTGTGTTCAATGTGATTGAAATCTTAGTTTAGAGTTTCTTTGTTTGGTTATGGAGGCGTCTGGCCGAGTAGATTGCTATCAACTTAACCTTTCCAAGCTCTGAGGAAGGCGAAATCCGCTGAAACGTCAGCTTATTCGTGAATAAAGAATAATAACACCTCGCGTTCGCTCAACAAAAATACGAAGAATTACTTGATCAATGCCGAGGTTAGTAGAAGGTCGGTCGTGGGAGTTACTGTCAGATACTGTTTGTTGTTCTGGAAATTGCGACACTTCTAACACATCCATTTCGATAAGCAACACTTTTTAATGAATATGGTGGAAAATAGTGGGCGACTTCAACTTTAACATACCATGACTTATCTCAACTTTAACGAGCTTTGTTAATCTGCGTAAAAGCCACTTGAACCTACAGATGTTTGCTAAAAGAACAGTTGTTTTATCCTGCCGAGATGGAACTATGATTTCTTCAACGCCGTGAAATATACTTCTTTCACTTTTGCCACAGCATTCGCATTTACGACACAGGAGTTGAACAAGCAGGACTCTTTTGAGCAGGCTATAATGATGTTTCCTAGTGTATCACAGGCTTTCGTGGCAGCAGCAGTTTCTTGTGAAGTTTAAGAAATTTCATCACTTTTTGGGAGTTTTAGTTCTAAAAAAATTTAAAGTGGAAAATGACTTTTTTAAAAATGTTTTATGCCATTTTCTCATTGTAGCAGTGTCATACTTACAAATTTATGAAGTTCTCAACTCTTCCACTACTCTAATAATGGAGTACTTATGGCCGGTTGTCGAAATGCGAGCTACGGCCCTTAGTACTTGGTACTTGGATGGCCCCAGCATGATCTCCATTATTTCGGACTTTTGTTGGTCTATCCACTGTGCTTCCCTGGAGTCCCGAGGTCACCCAGGCTAAAGTGTGCCTGAGGCCGTTACCACCATGGGCAGTCGCCGTCCTTGTGAATCAGAGGGAGATTTGCCGCCATGCGACTAGTTTGATACGAGAACGGTGACCGATCCTGTAGTGGTTTACTTTTAGCTGTGCTTGTTAGTGGAAACTCCGGATTCTTTTTCAACTTGGGAGACCCTGCCATGGAGTGAATCCCCTGCTGTACATCGTAGCTCGACACCCAGCAACACCTCCCGACCAGGATGATGGGGTAAATCGTTGGGAGGTTCGGCTTTAGGAGCTACGGCTTCAGGCCTTTCTAAACAGTTGTCTAAATTGTTGTCTGTTGTCTAAATGCACTAAGTTAATCAATATTTTTTCGTGTTCTTCTTTTTTGTTTTTTTCTTTCAAAATACATGAATAATGCGCACGCAAATCTTGTGGCAGCCATCTAATGGTTTCTGTTTATTACTCGTGGTGAACTAGTGTGTCATAACAAAAATATTCTGTATAAGTAGATTTTTAGCCGAGGGAGGCAGGGAGCAAGTGGTTTCTAGTGCATTACAATGAAATTTCAGTTGGTCAACTACTAAAGTTGTGGCGAATCACTTTGGTCAGCCGCAACTTTGGAACTTCACTTACGTTGATCTGGAATGGGAGGCGGAGACCAATGTTCTCGGCTTTGGATGAATCCGACTGTTCCTGCTATGTTGATTATTTATTATATCGGTGGTTGTTATTTTTGGAATATTTAATAAATTGGATAGAAGAAATTTAAAGCTCTCGGGGTTGATCAATCCCTGAGGGATGCACCATGCATTCGACTTCACTAAGCATCGTTGGAGGTAACTGAAGGCATATCTGGCCTTTACAATGACTCGCACTGCGCTACCGATGTATCGAGCCAGTGCTGCTATCCTCCCAGACAAGTCTGGTACCAATTTGCCGACCCGAGAGGAATGTAGGGCTTGGTGGGCCATGAGCGCTAGGATCGATTCGTGTGCGTTGCAGGAAGCCTCCGACCATTGCTCTACCTGCGCCCATTACTGAATAAATTATGCCGTTAAAAGGATCAAATTGTCTAGAGGTGAGAAACAGCTGAGAAGAAAGAGCGGAAAGGCAGGAGGAGGACAATTGTGTATTCACCAAGACCACTGATGTTTTATTCAAACTTGAGAAAAGCCTGAAGATTTTGGCGTCGATAAGGTTTATTGGCTATTCACCTTGAATTTGACCGTAATAAGTATCACAGAAGTATTGAGTGAATATTTAGTAATTTGGGGATTCCGGAAGGAGTAGATTTTTAGCTGAGTTTAGGAGCCAGATCTAACCAATGACCAATCGCCATGTCTGTATTGAATGATGGTCATCTCTAACCACTATGGTTGCTAACGTCGTCAATTTCATAGTTATTGAGCGGATGGATCTATATTGGGATTGTTTATTTGAAAGAGAGTCTATTAATAGAGCAGTGAAAGTCGATGGTAAATTGCTCAAATGCGTAAGTATCGCCCTCTTATTGGTTGTGGCTAAGTGAAACACTATGGCAAATTAAGGGCATCCAGAAAAAATAGGCCTGTGGGTTCCAGAGTCTAAAATCTGGTAGGCTTAGCGATTTTTTTGGCACCAGAAAGCCTTTCTCGTTATTAAAAAAAGTTGCTATTACGAAAATCCTAGGAGCTTAAAACGAAATTTCCTTGATACGTGATACTTGGATGACCCCTCTTGATGAATTGCGGTGGATCGTTTGGACAGCAGAATCTTCCATTTAAATGATAGTTTACAGGTTGGTCAAGTTCTTCCTTACATTGAGTTCGAAAGCGCTTCCATGTCACCACCACGTTTACTCCTTCGGAGACTTCGCTGAGATGAATTCCATGGTGTATGACCCAACTCGCCACGGAGGATCATCTCCCATCAGAATAACGAGGAAGGACATTAGTCAATTTAATTGAGAAAAAAGTACATTTATATAAGAAACTGCCACATGATATAGATTTAGAGTAAATCCACCCTGGTCATTAGAACTAACGAAAAAGGATAACTGTAGAGTTTTATTATGATCTAAAGCAGTGCGAACGCTTTGTTCCTTTTTTCATTCCGTTGAAGGCATCACCTGGTTACTATTGAGTAGTGGTGAAGGAAATGGTAATCGTCAATTTAATTTTCGCAAAAGTGTAAAGCAGCAGTCCAGCAACATTCTGCTATTCAAGGCTGTAGTTGTGGTAAAGGTTGGAAATAGTTGTGAAAACACGAGGTACTTGATACTTGGGCGGCCCATCATCACTGATTGTGCACAGCCCAGCAAAATTTCCACTTTTTGGATCTTTCTGGCTTAGCCATTATGATTTCCTGAAGTCCAGAGACTAGTCTGGCCAAAGACTGCACTAGGTCGTCACCACACCAAGCAGTCGCAGCCCTCGTAGATCAGAGTTAGATTTGTCAACATGCGACTAGCTTGATACAAGAACGGTGGGTGATCCCAGTTTTGGTTTACTCTTGGCTGGACTACCTGATGGAAACGCTGGATTCCTTCTCAACTTGGTAAGCCATGCCAGGGGACGAATCCCCTGCTGCACATCGTAGTCCGACACCCAGGAACACCTCCCAGCCACGATGAGGCGGTAAGCCGTTGGGAGGAAACACGTGATATATTTTTTAAACTTACAAAACTTTACTTAGCAGAGACTGACGAATTGTGGTTGGATTGAGGACAGTTCTTCTAATTGTAAGCAACAGGTGGAAGACACAACAGACCCAAAACCTTATTCAGGCTTTTTATAGAAAAGAAACGCTTTAAGACTGTTTACAACGTATGATATCAGAACATTATTCATAGATGCAGATCTTCACGCAATTCTTAAACCCTTAGTTCGCATCAAATTCTATGTGATTGCCTTACAAGAAACAATACGCAAAAAGACCGAAACATGACAACTGAAAAAAGGACCCTTGCTATCCGCTGAGAGGATGTACCGCCACGAAATGTCGGTGGCGTAGGAATTGTCGTCCACCCGTCGATATCTCATCTCGTTAACTCCTACAATATCGTTTTTCCTTGCATGGGTCCTCTCCGCCTACTCATCATAGGAAGATCACTATCATTAATTGCTGCTCACCGGCCAATAAACTGATTACTACGAATAAAATGCGGCCTGCTATCAGTTAGAGGAAGTTATCCACAATGAGTCGTATTACAAATGTTTTGTAGGAGACTTCAGCAAACGAATAAGAAAGGTCAACGAAAGCGAATACTGGATCGGAAGTTGTGGATTACGAGAAAGGAATGGAAGTGGATGCAAATCGTCTTCAAAGACTCTTATTCGCAGCGTGCCTGTTTCATGGAAACTCATGTTCGCGAAAGCAAGTGGGAGATGGACTTAGGAATTACCGCAAGGTACATCGACCATTTGCTTACAAACAGTAAGTAGTGGCTCCCTGACATGTCGGTAAACATATCGCTGCGATAATTCACGGCTGTCGTAATAAATAGCTTGATATAAAAGTTTAAAAGCAGAAAGAACATGTTTTGTGACAGAATGTTAACTTTCCACAATAACCACATGTTACCTTAATTATCTAAAAAATATTAAGTATTTACGTCGGGGTTAAAACACAATGGAATTTATGAACAATACTTGGTACTTGATGCTTGAATGACCTGTCCTCATGGTTGTATCAGCCTCAGCAAAATCTCCATTTTTCGGTGGTGTGCTGGTTAAGACATTGTGGTTCCCTGGAATCCCGAGGTCAGTTTGGTTGAAGGCTGCCCCACGTGTTCACCACCACAGGCGGTCGCAACCCTTATGGATCAGAGGGAAATTTGCCACCATTTTGATACCAGGACGGTGGTGGATACTGGTATTGGCTTACTCTTAGCTAGGCTTCCTGATAGAAACGCCGGACTCCTTCTTAACATTGGAGATCCTGCCTGGGAGAGGGGAATGAATCCCCCGCTGTACATCGCAGTCCAATACCCAGAAACACCTCCCAGCCACGTTGAGGTTGTAAAGCGTTGGGTGTTTTATGGGCAATATAAGTTGCAAAACAGGCACTGACAGCAATGTGTCCACGTGATAACGCTAACTAACATGTAGTACATAGTGGCAAGCATATCATGCAGACCATTAGAGCTATAGAGCAAAGTGACTTGCTATGTTCTGAACCACTCAAGCCCTTCAATTATCGAAAAGTTTTCGTTCATTGTTAGACGATTAAGCCCGCAATGGCGTGAAACTTGCCGTCGGCAATAAATTTGAAGGAGACCACCCACTCCGAATATTGTCAGCAGTGATTAGTTAGAAAAACTCAGTTGGAGTAGGAGTCCGTGCCAATGAAGGGCCAAAGCTAAAAGAATACATACAATATACGTAAGTGTGCAGTAGGGATGAGCAAGTTAGCTTCTGTCGTACACTGCAGACGGATGTGATTCCCTCACTTAGTAATCCATTCAGACAGATATGTTTTCACAACAGTTCATCATAAAATGAATTTCCACACAAATTCACGATCGAAATTTCTACCTCTTTACTTAAATTTTTTGAGCATTGCAAACATTCCCACGAACAACTTTCTATTAACCTCGGGTTGATCAAATAATTCTTCATTTACTTGTTGAGCAAGCGCGAGATGTGATTTTATTCTTTATTGTGGGAAAGCTGACGTTTCGGCAGATTTTGCTTTCCTCAGTAGATTGTTGGGCAGATTGTGGTCAACTTGATCTTGCTAGGCTCTGAGGAAGATGAAATCCACCGAAACGTCAGCTTTTCCATAACTAAGAATGAAATATCTGTAAACATTATTTCTCGTTCTCAATTGCTTGTCGAAGCAATGACAGCATCACTGACAATGGTAGCAGAGCTATCACTCAACATCGTGTTGATATAAATAGAACACTGTGGCGCCAAGGTGAACAGCTCTGTCGATTCAGATTCCATTCAGCCCCAGGCCATTTGGGTGGTTAACCCAAACGAATCTGCTATCGTTTCAAGAGCATGAATAATCATCCCAACGGCACAGCGCCCCATCGTGGCTGGGAGGTGTTCCAGGGTGTCAGACTGCGATGCGCAGCTAGAGATTCATTCCCCTGCACCGTCTCCCCAGCTGAGAAGGAGTCCGGCGTTTCCATTAGGAAGCCTAGCTAAGAGTAAACCAATACCAAGACCCACCACTGCCCTGGTATCATAGCCGCATGTTAGTAAATTTCCCTCTGATCTATAAGGGTTGCGACTGCCAGTGGTGGTGAAAACCTGGAGCAGACTTTGTTCAGGCTGTCCTCAGGATTCCAAAGAACCACAATGGCTTAGCCACCAAGTCACTGAAAAATGGAGACTATGTTGGGGCCCGCACAACCAGTGAGGACGGGCCATTCAAGTATCAAGAAAGTAACGGTATGAATGATATATTTGCTCCTAGTGCGGTAAAAAAACTCTGCGGCGTACTAAAGTGAATATAGGCACTGTTGTGTCTATACGGTTGTTCGGTCCAAACTGCTATGGACACCGTAGTGGTGCGGAGTAGGTCATACTGTGCTCAGTTTTCACTCCTAATAGTGATTGTTTTTAAAAAACCTATATCATTCTGTCATAATAACTGCGGTAAAGCATGTGGATAGAATTTGATGACAGATTTTGGCACGGTGGACAACGGACGGGTACCCGATGAAGTCAATGGAACCAAATTTGAACGAT